AGCATAACAAAATACTTTAAAACTTCAAGTACTTTACATTGGGTCATTGCAAAACTATAAAGTATTTTTTATCTGTTTGTTTAAAATAACATCCAAATAATTCATGCTCTAGAGAGTATTTTCAAATTTCAAATATTGAACTTCCAAGACGTTGGAAAACTCTTAATATTGTTGCGTCAGCGAGTCACATGACTACAGTGACGCCACGTTTCTAGAACTATCTCGTATCTTGGCGAATGCTCTAGTAATTGCTAGATGGAGGGTGGACTGGTATATAAAAAGGGGAAGGTAATGTGTGTATTGTCAGTGTGTAATTGATCTGCAGTCAGAAGTATTATTGACGTTCGTTGATATAGCATTTGATTTAGCGCGATTGTTGAAGTTGAGTGTTTCGGTAAAGTTATATTCGGAAAGAATAAACCAGTTTTATTAAGTAAAGACTTGTGTCGTTAAAATTTCGTCGGAACGAAGTTACGGAAAATCAATTAACAAACGGAGACGTAACAATATGTTTTTGTTTCAGCTCATGAAGGGTTAACTAGAGTTATATGGAATAGAAAAAAAAAGTTTTTCTTTTTCATGAAATGAAGAAAAAAGAAAATCGTATTCTTGATGAAACCTATTGCTTAGATCCAGTATATTTTGTACTTTCTCATATATTGTATAATAATTTTGCTTGTACTGTATTTTCTCAATATTGTTTAGTTCATATAGTTCAAAAGCATTACTCATATTTTAACAGATTGTTATAATTTATTAAAAATATATTAACCTGAAATAATAAGTTTTTTATTCTGGTTAAAAAGTGAGTTCTGGTTAATAGTGAGTAGCACAGTAATTTGGACACTACCAATCTCTTGATATGGGTAACATATGTCACGGATTTACTATTCTATATACATTTTAATATCAGTGTTTGTTTAAGTTAAATTTATGTGTAGAAGTGTACATAACCTATACCGTTAAATCTGTATTGCGAAATTCCTGCTTATTCACAAAATTGTAGAAAATTCTCGAGTGTAAGAATCAACAACAAATGTCTATACGTAAACATTGGTGTATCGTTTATATTGTTATGTAAGCTGAAATTTCGAGAAACTATTCTCACCTATAAATATAACCAATGTGACGAGCCAAAAGACAGCATATATTATTGGTTTGCTATAGTTGGGGTGATATAAATTTCGGAAGCTATAACTATGATTGTTATAATGCTTATTAATCAGGTACTTCAGATAGTCGACCAGGAACATTTAGAGATTTCAAACATTACAAACCATTTAACTTCAGCGGATTCACACGGGACATTATTTTTACGAAAACTTTATATAACTTTAACGGTGAATATTTCGGAGTGCGAACGAGTGAAGAAAGAAAAACACAGAACTAGCTAGCTCCCTGTTAAGTGAATTGTACCTACATCTACTCAAAATTAATTCGCTCATCGTGAACCAAGTCAAATAGAGGACTAAACATTGTTTGTAAGTTTTAAAACTTTTGTCCATAGATTATTTGTAATAACCGTTTTTATAAATTGTGTTATTGTTTGTATATTAAAACATATTTGTTCTATAAAAACTGTGTGTGTACCAATCTTATTGGCAAGTATCTTAAAATGGATACAAATCGATATATATTTAATTTCTAAATCTAAATCATCATTTAACTCAGCTTCAGGCTGTTAGCAATTATAATACATTACATAATAAATTGGAGACTCGTCTGGATAGATTGTAATACGTAACACATAGTATGAAAAAAATGAGACTAATGAGACCTGGCATTAAACGAAAATCTTGGGTGGTGACTTGTGCCAGGGGCACTGCTGTAGTGCTTGTAGGACACAAAAGATAACTCTGAAATTCCATTATTTACATACCACTGATTTTGAGCCACAATGAACAAGTTAAGAGAGACTTGTAAAAAAAAAAAAGCATATACAGTTAACATTTTTACTAGAACTTATAGTTTCGTATTGAGTTTACTTTTTTGTTTGTTTCAGAATTTTCGAGCAAAATTTCAAAAAAGAGCTAACTGTAGGTTGTCTTTGCTAATTTAAAATCGATATACTATAGGAAAGGCAGCTAGTCAACAGTACCTATCGTCAATTCTTTAACGACTGAATAGGGGTTTCGACCCTAATTTTTATGGTTCACCCACAGCCTCAAAGTACAAGTGCGCGTTTTCGCGGCAACGATCCGCAAACCATGAACACTCGAATTCATAATCCGAGCACGACCTCACTCTTATTGTAATTTTCTGAAAGTTTGTAAAGTACTTCTCCTAAATATATTCAGAGTAATATCAATTAAATATTTGTTTGTAGTATATCTTAAACTGCAAAGAATTTTAACAATAATTAAAATAACTAAAAGCATTTTAGATGTTAAATGTTGGAATGTGTGTATAGCATACTGACATGGTGAGGAACTCGATTAGTGTTCTAGAAAACATATTGTTACGTCTCCGTTTGTTAATTAATTTTCCGTAACTTAGTTCCGACGAAACTTTAGTGACACAAGTCCTTTCTTAAATAAAACTGGTTTATTCTTTCTGAATATAACTTTACCGATACACTCAACTTCAACAGTTGCGCTATAACAAACTATAATTCAGGTATCACTAGCTAGACTTCAACTTTACGTCTCTCTCTGACTGCAGTTCAATTACTCATTACCTACACACACATTATTGTCCCGTCACGTTGTCACCCTCTTATATATACCAGACTACCCTATATCTAGTAATCTCCCGACAATTCACGAAGGTACAAGATATTTCCAGAAAGCAGGGGGCGTAACACTAGTCACGTGACCTCGCTGACGCAACAATATTCATATATGTTATAGCAACCAAGAACTAAAATACTTAAATTATTCTAAAACAGAAAGTAGTTTATATATACAACGTTTATATTGAAAACACTTTTATATCAAATAAACTCAAAGGTTTAACACAACATATAACATATTGTTACGACAGCGGAAGTCACGTGACGATAGTTACACGTCACGAGATTCTAGAAGGCTCATGACTGTTTGTGGCAACTCTAGTCTTTTCTACGCGCCCTCTATTTTAGTATATAAGCCCGGCAAATAAAGCCGAGAGGAGAAGTGACGGCATAGATAATTGCAGACAGAGAGATAATCGAGTCAAGTCTTAAGAAAAATGCGTGAATCGTTGTGAATTAGAGCGTGTGTATAAGTTAAAGTGACTGTGGAAATTAAGTGTATTGCAAAGTTGTATTGAGAAAGAATAAACTAGTTTTATTTATAAAAGAACTTGTATCGCTGAAGTTCTTCTGAAAGAAAAGAAATTTTATGGGAAATTAACAAACGAACAGAGACGTAACAATATCTTTCAATGACAACAAGTGGCCTATTGGTACATCGAGGCTATCCCATCTATTAAACTAACAAACATAAAACTCAAAGCCAACTCTTATCATTTAGATATTTATCAAATCTTTCCTAAAACTCCATTAAATTCAATGAATCCGCCACATCTTAAGGCAACCCATTTCAAAAACCAAACACTCAGTTAGAAAAGTAAAATTGCTTTAGCTCAAGATCCCTCATATCTACCGAAATTTATATTTGTATTTTCTTATTCTACTATTTTCATTTTCCACCATTAAAAAAAAGATGATGCATTTACACTATCAGTTCTTTTAACAAACTGAAATACCTGAATCACACACAATCTAAGTTGTTTTTTTTAAGAGAAAACAGTTTCAGAAATCTTAAAATGTCTTGGTATGACAACCTTTCTATCCCAGATATCATCATAGGTACCTCCTCTGAACCTTTTCCAACAATTCAATGTTCTTTTTAAAGTAAAGAGCCCAAAACTAAACACAATACTTTATATGAGGCCTAACCAGTGACCTATACAATCAAATAATAATTTTTTTTGGACTAGTATTCAGTATTTCTGTAAATACAACCTAAAATCATATTTGCCCCACCCTTAGCCACAACACACTGCTTAGGTGGCTTAATTAAGAAGCTGATCAACCTATACACCAGATACCTTTCTTTCATAACACTGTTGAGGCTACTCTCATCAAATTATATTTATAAGTCCAATTATGATAATTCACATGCAATATCTTGCATTTATTATAATTTAAAATTATCTGTCATTTATTAGACCATCCCACTAAATAAACTGAATCCTTTGTAACGGAATAGCATCCTCCCCACTGTCAGCAACACCCAAGATCTCAACATCATCAGCAAATATAAGCAATTTTATTGATCATTCTTTCATCTGTCTCATTGATCTAAATAAAAAAAAACAAAGGTCCTAACGCTGAACCAAGAGCAACCTTACTTGTTAAATTAATCTGGATTGTTTGTTTGTTTGTTTTGAATTTCGCGCAAAGCTACACGAGGGCTATCTGCGCTAGCCGTCCCTAATTTAGCAGTGTAAGACTAGAAGGAAGGCAGCTAGTCAACACCACTCACCGCCAACTCTTGTGCTACTCTTTTCTCAACGAATAGTGGGATTGATCGTCACATTATAACACCTTCGCGATTGAAATGGCGAGCATGTTTGGTGGGACAGGGATTCGAACCCGCGACCCCCCCAGATTGTGAGTTGAGCGTCCTAACCATCTGTCATGCCGGGCCAATCTGGATAGACTGAACTCAATTTACAATAATTGAACCATTTTTCGATCTTACAAGTCAATTTATTTCCACAACTATGGAGATAATTTTTAACAACGTTTTATGTAGCACCTTATAAAATGCTTTCTGAAAATCCAATTCATACCTTCATTTACGTGAGCAATAAACACTTCGAAAAAATGTCAACAGAGTAGTAAGGCAAGATTTTCCTTTAGTGAAATATTCCCAACATCAGTATCTTTGGCACAAAATGGTGTCGTAAAACATTTTACGCTATGTTCATCATCGTGATTATCCTTTATGAGGTAGCATGTTATTTACAAATCGAACAACACAGTGCTCCACCAAAAGAGTAAAAACATTTTTGAAATTTAGGGTTATTGTGAAGTTAGCAGTAGAATAACATTAGGCCTTTGTGAAAGAAACAAGAGTAAAACGAAAAAATAGGCTATTTAAAATTTATTACGTTTAGTGTTAAGCCTATACCCCATCTGTGGTTTAAAGTGTGATTTCTTTGATAAGTGATTTTTATTTCTCTGTTGTTTGTTTTTATTTAACTTTTTAAAAATTCAATTTTAAGTGATAAGGTCTGAAAAACTGATCACTGATATTAGTAGTAATAAATAAAAATAATATCAAAAACTTGTACTTTTTTCGTAGAACGATAAATCAAATTTCAACTATTTGAGTTCCTTAATATTAGTATTACTATTAGGCTCAATACCGTATACGGGACTAGTTTATCCATTACTTGAACTTTGAAGTTGATGTCGTCTCATAATTTTAATGGTAAGTAGTAATAGTCTAATACTATTAGTAGTATTAATAACACTAACAGTATGTATGTTTCATTTCCCCTTTTAATTTTATTTGAAGTTGATGTCGTCTTGTAATTTTAAAGGTAAGTAGTAATAATACTATTAGTATAGTATTAGTAGTATTAATAACACTAACAGTATGTATATTTCATTTTCCCTTTTAATTTTATTACACCTATAACTTCTGTATAAGTATAATACAGTAAACCATCCTATTTCTAACTCTTTAAAAGACTTAGTAAGATTACTGTATGAAACACTAACTAATTAAAATATTCTGGGTACAAATAAATCACGTAAGTTCAATAATTAGTGTTACAAAAAGCCAAAATTACAGTGTACTTTTAAGTAACTTTAGTTTTATGTTACTTTAGCCTTAGGTGTTTTAGTATGTTTTTATTTTATTGTTGTTGTTTTCATTCAAGAATATTACTTAGTTTATCATTTATATACAAGATCTTTATATCAAAGAAATGTTTCACTGATGTTTCGATACTGCAAGAAATGTTTGAAAATCATTTTATGTTTGTTATGAAATAGCTGACTTCCAACACTTGACACTAGGCAGTAGCATGATCATAACACTGAATTTTATACAACATAATTTCTTGACAAGGTTTTATAGTTTATTTGTGTACATCTAATTCTTAGTATATGAAATATGTTTTGAGCAATGAATATATTGTTTAAGCAGCCATTTTATGATGATGGCTTAAGTTATTTCATTCCAAGATGTATTATTCTGAAATGGCTTTTGCAACTCAAAAACAGTACTGGAGAATATGCATAAATATAAAGGTCTTTAAGTAGAATTGATGTGCTAGTGAAATTCACTGATTATTTGATTTTTAATGTGGAATTGTTTATGGATAAGTATTTTAGAGATCAGGGATGTATATATCAAATAGATGATTCTGCATGTATTTATAGTAGGCTGTTAGTTGAAAATGGGATAGCTTAAAAGGGCCAAATGGCTCCTTATTATCACTTGTAATGAAATGAAAAATATTTATCAAAAGTTTAGTTTAGAGCAAAGGCACTAAGATCTTCATTATTCCAGTAAAGTAAATAGAGATAAATGAAGTTATGGTTTTGAAAGTATATTTGGTTAAGTTGATCAGGATTAAATTCCTTTTCTCTTGTTAATTGAACTTGTTGAGTGAGTGTAAAATACTAATAATTTATTAAACCTATCATTTCATTGAACAACTTTTATTTATGATATAAATCTGTAAAGAGTCATGTACAATTGAAGTATTACATTACAACTAGTATTATATACATTGTACAAAATTTATTTGAAACATTGTTTACTTTATTGTAAAAGTTATGGAGAGATAGTTTACAAAACAATTTTGTGCATCACAGAAAAATTACATGGCATTAAGCCTTTTGTATATTGGCATATGCTTTGTTACATGCACATGAATTAATTGGAATGTACTCTATATAGTTTTAACTGAAAGCCTTCCATTTTAAATCTAGTGAAAATTACCTTGAGTTATCAACTTATATTTTATTTATATAAAGTGTTTGTTTGTGAAACTGCTATCTTTTTGTACAGTGCACGTGTAGAGCAAGAGCTGGATAATTCTTTATTTTACTGATTTACTTCCTGAGTTTCCCAATTTACCAGCTGTAATGCCTTACCTTGTATGAACTAGTTGGAAGAGTATTTTTATGTTATTGGGATAACAGAAACTTTGTTAGATATAGAAAATTTTGATGAAAGAAATTTCTTTCAAATACACAGTTATGCAAGTTGTTTAATAGGGATAGAAGTGGCTTTATATGAAAAATGTGAGTTACATCCTATATAAGTTAAGGATTACAAAGATAATACCAAGGATGTTGAATCCATTTGGGTTTTGTTACTGGATGTAGAAGAAGAAGGATTTTAATTCAAATTTGTGACAGACCACCAGATGAAACTGATGAGATTTCGGCAACGAGGTCTTAATTATGATAGATTTTAACATCAAGTATATAGATTGGGAAATTTCAGAGTGAGACAATGAGGGGAAAAAATTGAGGAGATATAACAAGAATTATCTATTGTGAATTGGCCAACTTCATTATTTGAAGAATCTGATAAATTATGGCAAATTTGAATGATCAAGATAGATATGCTCATTTTAAAAATTGGAACATGTCTGCAAGTAAAATACCAGGTTAGCTCACAAAAAATATAAGGAATGAAATTAAAGAAAAGCATTACGAAAGTAAGAAGTTTAAATTTACTGTTTTACTACTGTAACATAACATAATGTTTTGGGACAACATGGGACCTATTGGTCTATCTAAACTAAATTAGAATAATTTAAAAAAATCTTGAAGCCAGCCCTTATCATTCATATACTTATCAAGCTTTTTCCTAAACTCACTGAAAGTTACTACCTCTACAACACCTGAAGGCAACTCATTCCAAAGACTCCTATCCTGCCAAAATTTATATTTGTGTCCCCTAGTCCTACTATTCTTACTGTAAAATATGTAAAAAGATGATGCATCAACACTATCAATTCCCTTTATAATCTTAAACACCTCAATCCGATTTTCCCTAACAGAAGACTAAGGGAATTATAGATCAAAAGAGTGTTGATTAATTAGGATATTAGGCAGTTAAAAAGTGTATCAGAAAAAAAAGTTGGCTAAAAGTTTATAACTGAATTGTAAGGTTTTTCTTAATACATAAAGAGTAAGCAGAATGCTAGGATGGGAGTAGGGACTTTAAGGGATGATAAAGGAAGGCCCGTTTCTAATGATTATATGAGATGGCTAGGCTACTAAATTTTACTTCTTTAGTTATTAATAATAAAGATTTGACAAATATTCCTCATCCTGAACAGTTACTAAAAATGTTCAAACAAAATGATCAGATTAATTATGAACTTATTAAGAAAGAATTGGGAAATCTAAAGAATGACAAGGATGTTGAATCAAATAATATTTTCCCAAGGCTTTTGAAAAAGTTAAGGATTGGATATGTAAGCCACTTGTTAATAGTTTTTTTTGTATAAATATTTGAATAGTGGGCAGGTGACAGAAGATTGGATGTTACTCCTTATCTTCAAGCACAGTGATAAAATTTGCCCAAGTAATTATGAGCCTATTAATCTTACATCAGTGGTGGGAAATGTTTTTCAAAGTCTTGTAAAAGATGGTTTTCAAATTAATTAAATTAGGTTTAAAATTTTGTTGAGTAGTCAACATTGTTTCTTGTCTACTAATATTTTTATGTTCTTTTGAAGAGGTTACTGCTTATATAGGTGTGGGTAAAGGTATGTATTTGGTATATCCGGATTTTCAGAAAGCATTTTATAATGTGGCACACAAAAGGCTTATTAAAACAAATATATGTATGTGTATACATATATTTGAGGGGGGGGGGTAAGTTGGCTCATTAGCTCTAAAAATGGCTAGATGGAAGAAAGCAGAGTAAACATTACAATGCTTTCATATGCCAAATATCAATTTTTTTTATTAAGGCTTAAGGTTTGTAAAACAATGTTTTTCTCATGACTTTTTTTTCTTTTTGCATGTTGTCTATCTATTATGCAAAGTAATTTTCATTTTAAGATTAAAAATACTTTTATGGATCAGAAAATTTTCAAATTTCACATGCAAAATCTTTATAGTGTCCAGATAGTTATCAAACATTTCTTAAGAAAAAACTTTACATTTTGTTTGTTATTTTCAGTAATTAATCTCTGTATGGGTTTGGTAGATTTGACTGATCTTGTAACCACCATAAAAAATCAGGATATAAATATCAATTATGCCTTTTTTATTTTAAAATGAACACAAATTATAACATGAAAACAT